AATTTGATATAAGTAACAGTTTTTTCTTCACGATTTGTAAAACATTTATACGCGATAGAAAAAATTAATATTATTTTCGAAATCTGCATAACTGAATTATGGAAAATCCATTATTAAAACCAAAACAACTTTTATGAAGTTTCAAATCGCAGGCCTGTCTAATCAATGGTGGAAAAATCTGAAATAGTCCTGTAAACATTACCCCTACAATTGGTTATAGCCAGGCGAAATAGAATAGAAGTTAGCTGCGTCATAACCAGACAACACTGGTAGTTCTGCTTTGAGTAAATCCTGATGACAGCTTTATAAAAGCATAAATTGAACACTTGAAGTATGAAACTGATCAGGAGTATGAAACATTATTTAAGGCAATAATTAAACATTCACAAATAGATTTCCTCAATTCAGAAGCCCTGAATAGATTATTTTTGGACAGAGTGCATTCTGAAGGAAAGCAGATACACATTAACAAGATGCAGCTGTCCTAATGGTGCTATTTTAAATCCCTCCAAGACATTCTTATCGAATGTCATGACTACATTGATTCTCTTTATGCATGTTCAGAAGTTCATTCATATACTTGTGACAACATTTTGCAGTTTGTGCTATCTCTAAATAACGCTTTATCTAACCAGATTACCCAGTCATTGACATATGAGGAATGTTGGTAAGCAATAAGTTTTTTCCTTATGGCAAAAATCCATCTTCGATCATGTTCATCGTGGATTTTGTAGCACGTCCTAAAGAGATATGGATTCCCAAAAATGTTTGTTTCCTGTATTCAATTCCTGTATCAAGAAGTGGCGAGTACAATACAACTCAATGGTTTCATGACAATATCATTTTCAATTCTTCAGGGATTGCCTTTTGTCTCCTATGATGTATGTACTTGTAATTGAGTGTTTAAAATCTTATGTAACTCTTTAATTGGATATAGCTGACATACAATTACCGAGAAATATGGACTTAGTATTAAGATAACTAGCCCCGATGATGATATTACTTTTATATTTCAAACATAAATTCATTTGTGAAATTGGTGGATGTTGTTGCAATGTATTCTGTAGCAAGTGAGGCTAACTTAAAATATGAAACGTCTAAACCCTAAACAACACTTTCCACTTTCCTAGCAACTAAACCCTAGTTGCTATGAAAGTGGAATGACTACCCTGATGAATCCTATAATTTGAACTGATCAAATCATGCCACTAACAGTTTGGGCTTTTGGATTTCTTACAATTGCAAACAACTGGGGATGGTGCATGCAATCATATCCAGACAGCTGTTCAGGAATATTGGTTTTTTCCAGCAGCTCTTCACATTCTGTGCTGACATAGTTCCACAGCATATCACGCCTTTCATTTGATACCTGAGTTTCATAAATCTTCCACATAGTGAAATACTAGTACAACCACTGGAGCGACTAATTTTCCAATTTATCAAGACCCACGAGCGGCCAAAACAACCTGCAGGACACACTGTGTGTTATTAGCAGGTGTGATAACATGTAATAACATGGTATGGATTAGTTTTCAGCCAAAGAGGCTATCACTGTTTGATGAGTATATCAGGATTTTCGGCGAAATGCTGGGAATGTCTGCTCAGGTTTCAGGAATTAAGGTACCTACAGCTAATATAACCTGTACATGTTACAAAATAAATTTTTCATTGTTTGAAAGTTGTAATACTCGTAAGAAAGATGTTTTCATATTTTGAAGTCTAAAATAAGTAAAATTGCAAGTTCTATGACATATAAGTGGTAGCTTAAAAAGTAGTGAAAATTCTGATTACAGATGCTAAAATATTAATTTAGATGTAGACTTTATACTTTTCTCTAAACGTAAGTTTAACTATTTAAATTATAAAATTTGAAATGTTTGTCTGTAACTGGTTTATTTTCATGTCAATCACATTCCTAGAAATCAAGATACAAACTTTGAATTTGTTGGATTGTAACCTGAGCTACTCATAATGATTTTGCAGGCTTTCTAATTGACTTTATTATCAAAATTACAAATAGTATGCGGTTATAAATAATAAAACAAGAAAAGTAATAAAAACTTATCAGCAGGTGCTAGTACAGGTCTAATTGAACACCTCTTCCTTCCCATCTTACAACATCCTGGATTGTCCCTGTTTTGAGTAAGTTTCTCAAAGTATGAATCTCTAACAACATTTAATATAATTTGAAACATGTATGAATCAATCAAAGATGAAATATAGCAGGACTCTAGTAGTGACATCCTTAAAACGTCTTTGTTTAACCCACTTGAACTGTTCCATATTGACAAAACATAACATTATACATAAACAACAATTATACTATTTTCTCAGGATGCATGTGCTATATCCAACACTGTTGATTATGCCCATAGAAAAATAAAAAGGATATATCATCAACGTATCACTTGACTTACAAATGGAAAAGATCATTGTCAAGTTTCACAGTATGGTGAAATTTACAGAAATCTTTCCTTCGAGAAAGCATACTTCATATCATAGGTGCATGACCCAGGAAAATAGTTAACTAGGGCGAAGGAACTCAGCTACTTCATTGATGGAAGTTATGTGTGGAACTATATACACATAGAATTATTAAACTTTTGAAAATGCTTTATATAGCCAGGTGGTTAGGGCACTTGACACATAATCTGAGGGACACACGTTTCAATGCTGTCTCCAGGCATGCTCGCTATTTCAGCCTTGGGGCACTATAATGTTATGATCAATCCCACTATTCATTGGTGGTGGGTAGTATTGATTAGCTGCCTTCCCTCTAGTCTATCACTTCAAAATTAGGTCAGCTAGCGCAGATAGCCCTTGAATAGCTTTGCGCGAAATTTAAAATACAAATAAACTATTTTTATGAAAAGTCCCACATTAAGTAGGTACGTAAAAAACGTGCAGTATGACTGCATACTACACTTCTAAACTCTGTTTTTACTTCATATGTGATTAAAGATGAAATATAGCAGGACTCTAGTAGTGACATCCTTAAAACGTCTTTGTTTAACCCACTTGAAAAACAAGCAAAATAGTTGTAATAAAGGGCTTCTGAGATGTATAACATAATTGGTTGTAATGAATTTGTTGTTATGTATTTATTTTTATTATGAACGTTGTTTAGATTAAGTTTGTATTTTAAAATATGCGTAACTTATAGTGTTGGATATGTATTGCATGTAACGAATTTGTTATATATATTTATTTTAAAAACATCGTTTGTTTGGATTGAGTTTATATTTAAAAACGTACCTAGCTTACAGTGTTAGTTACGCACTGCGAAACTCCCGCCAATTCTCCAAGGTTAGAATATTCGGGAACGTAAAAATCGACAATATATCCACTTCTGTAACCAATTAAATATAGCCCAGTATTGTTGTCGGAATTTTCGAGAAAATATTTCCCGTGCCTATAAAAACAGCCAAGGCGATTCGTCAAAATGGAGAGCTTAAAAAGTTGGCTAGGAACCTGCTATAACTGTGTGCTATTTAGTATATAAACCGTGATTTTGCTACCCCTTATCAACCGGAAAATTTACGACATTTTACCAGGAACAGTTATAAATTTCGAACATCAGTGGATTCTCATCAGACGTTAGTATCTTTCCGAAAATAATACTGGATTCTCATTGGACATTAGTGGTTTTATGAAAATATTATCTTACTTCAATGGTCCAACAATTCAGTGTCTGACAAAACTAGCTAGCTTCTCGGCAAGTGTACGTACACCGACTTCAAGTTAAGTTGCTGGATCTCAAGGACACTTTGAACTAGAAATAAGATGTTATGTTGTTTGCAAGTTAGTGAAAATTTTGTTTATAAAACTTTGTTTGTGGTAACTACTCGTAATAATTGTTGTTGTTGTAAACTGTACTGTTGTATATATATATTAAAACGTATTTGTGTGAAAAACGAAAACGGTGTGTGTCAATCTTGTTGGCAAATAACGTAAATTAACTAAAATATCGGCTTCGGACTATTTCAAATTCATAATACGTAACATGGTTTAATTCAAATGTTCTATTGAATTACATTTAAAAAAAAAACAATTAAAATGAAGTGAAAGCTGAGAATTGCGATATTCGAAAGAGGTTAGCTTAATTGGCTAAATATTTTGTTTGTTATGTAAAATCAGTTGTGTAAATCCCACCTAATTTCAGTTTCACATTTGACGAGAATTTTGTTTATTGTTTAGCACAAAGCTACACAAATTAGCTGGCTATGCAATCTCCACGGCAGGTATCGAAACTCAATTGTTAGCGTTATAACTCTTCGAAATTATCACTGAGCTATTCGAGGGATGCTGAGAAATGATAACTTTGCAGAAGCGTGTGGCCTCCAAACAATTTCTATGAATTAAACCACATAGATGTTTGTTTGTTTGTAATTAAGCACAAAGCTACACAACGAGCTATCTGCTCTGCCCACCACGGGTATCGAAACCCAGATTCTAGCGTTGTAAGTCCGCAGACATACCGCTGTGCTACTGGGGGCTAAACCACATAGAATCAACACTTCAAATAAATGAATTTTCACTACTTCAGTATACAATGTTCTATATATATATGATAGCGACCCCTTATTTCACGCCAAAGAAATATGAACATAGAGAGTGTTCTTAAAACATGCACATTCTAACTCATACTGTAATTTCCAAACACTTTTAATGCAATATTATTTACTATATTGTAAAGTATTCTATACTTATAAATCAGAAACATTATTATGCAAAATAAATACCGTTGAAATTAAAACGAATTTAAGTTGTTAATCATGAAACAAAATAAAACAAACTAAAAATTTAAAATAACAATTACGAATAATTAAATAAACGTTATAGAAAAGAAACTTTACATAGATAACATAAACTTAACAGTTTTCGATGTTTGAGCTTACCAACTAAGACATAAAAAATGGATCACGTAATGTATATTGTTCCTTATAGTTTTTCGCGAGATTACGCAGTCCACCTGGCGAGATAAACTGTTAATAAAGCTGTTGTCCCTCTGGTTAGAATTATAGTAACACTTGTACAATTTAGTGTTTCCTTTTTTCTAGAGAAAGAGGAGTTTAATATTGTTAGTACTATTTCTATCAGCGAGATTATCAATAAAACTAAAAATATTTTATTGGATTTTTAATGATTTAATACCAATGGCAAGTAATCGACAGAACTTTGATCGTGCTAACGAACTGTCACAACAGGCTAAGCTGATTGAAAAGAAAAGGCAAGAAATTCAAAAGAAATTGGAAGAGAAAAAGGTAGACCAGTTAGGCCTAACATTAACAACAGCGCTACAGAAGCATTCGGCCTCAAAATCAAATATGAATGCAAGAAACAGTGAACAGTCATATGAGGTATCTAAAAGTAAAACTGAAACATTTCATCAGACCTGTAATATAAAATCTACTTCGCTACCTTCAGGACAAGATTCGACACAACATGAATTGGCACCAGTGGCAATGACTAACATTAGTAACACTAACACTGTTGTTGCTAATGTTAGTTTTAACACTAGCAACCAAAGGTTTGTATTTCACTTTCAGTAAAGACCAGAACAAGTTACAACCACAGAAGTGATGAATAACATTTAAAGAACGTCGTGGAACACTCACATCATTGTTTATCAAAAACTTTGTTAGTATTACTAGTATTAGATTCATATTATTATATGTAGTTATACTTTTCTATTTAATGTAGGAATTTGCTGAATATAAAATGTGTGTATTCAGACTATTCCAAGGCTTTTTAATTTTTGTTATTTGTCACTTGTGTGCTTGTGGTTGTATTGTTCATCATTGCTTTATCCCCCCCTCTTCAACTTGTAATGTATTTCGATATAAATCTGTAATACTATTACTAACACTAACAGTATTACTATTAATATTAATAGCATTAGTTAGTAAAAACAAGTTCTTCATAAAGATTTCAGGCTTTGAACCTGATTTAAAAAAGTTTATATAGTAATGTGAAATTCATGCTTAGTGCCTCTTAATATTCACTTTTAGTATCTAAAGCTACAACTTCATGTATGTTGATTCTCACAACATTTTGACAGTGCCAGTGTGCATCACAACAACAAAAAAAAAAAAACCCTGAGCTTAACTGAAAAGAAAATTCATCATTACTTTTCCCACTATGAATAATTAAAAATAAATCTTGAATGATCCAAACCTTTATACTTGTGTACTTTGTCTCACAAAACTAGTTCTTATTCTTAAAGTTTTTATTTAATACAAATTTCTTGCAAAATGCTGTTTAAATAGTTATGATGGGTTTTTATTGTTGAAATAATATAAAAAATAATGGTTGAAGTAAAAAAAAAATTTAAAAGGCTAAAATTGGGCTGAGCAAAAGGAGCCCATTATGTTGCTTTGTGCTAAACAATGAAAAAACATTTGTAAATTTTAGTTTATTAGTAGTAATATATTGATTGCTTAGATAGAATAATTGAAAAAGGTAATAATCTAAAACCATAATTTTGATTAGTTTTTTATTTTTGTGACAGTTGATTTAATCATAATTTTGGCTAATCGATTGCTAGAATAGTTAAAAATAACAATTTAGACACTAATTGTGGTTAGTTTATTATTTTTGTGACAATTGATATAATCAGAATTTCAGTTAACAATTTTTAGAACAATTGAAAACACTAATAATGAAAACATTAATTTCAGTTAGTTTAAATTACACTAATTGGTATAATCATTGCTTAGAGGTAATTGATTATTCAGTTGCATTGCACAACCCTAGTAAATATACGATTAAAAATGTTTTCATTATAATTTATCTGAAACTTGATATTGCCAAATATTGCCAAAAATTGAATGGGGAATACCATTTCTTTTGGTTATGATTATACGTGAAAGATTTTGGCACCAGCCAAAGCACAGGGATTGTAGTTTTAATATGAACTGAAGATCAAGATTGCTAAATGCTACTCAACAATATAGCATTTGAGCAATCCTGATATAGCATGAATAACTGTATAGAATTTCAGAAACTAAGCAAATTAATCCAATTTAATTATTATATTTTCAAAATAACTCAACTTATTATAATATTTAAAAGAAGTTAAGAAAAATAATAATACCTTAAACTAGATGCTTCTTTTCAATATAAAAGTCTCTTTGTAGGTTTTATATGTAAGTGTGTTAGAGTTAATAAATTCTACATTTCTGTGTTTAGGCTTTGGACATATTCCCTCTGCAATTTTGCAGCTTTAAAAATGCAATCAATATTTTGTATTTGATTTTGCAAAATTTTGTTAAGACATTCACTGTTCATTGAATTTTTGTTTTTGAAATGTATTGACTTTATGTCAAATATATAAGATATCGCATGCACTGATTTAGTATTTGAATACTAAGTTTCTAATTGCAAATTTATTTGAGTTTGAAATGAATACAAAGTAAAAGGTTTTTATGATGCTTCCTTTTTACTTTTTTTTTAAGCTGACAAACTAAACCCAAATAACTTTTGGGAACATACCATAAACAACTACGAAGAATAATTTCAAAACTTCCAAGTTATGTAAATATTGCAATGTAAATTTATAACAAGTTAGCAATGAAATTTAATGGAAATGTTTACATTGTATGTCATTTACCAAATTTTTATGATTATTTGAAAATTATGACACATATATAAAGTTGATATAGAACTTGTTATTAGAGCTGTAATAATTTAATCAGTAATAAAATAATTTTTCATACAAAAGCAAGTTTTGGTAACTTAGCACATATGAAAATGTCAGGATCTGTAAGAAAAAGCAAGGTTACCACTGGTTAAGCTTATGTTGATAAAATTGGTGAGTTTTAGCTATTGATTTCGTCTCACTATGTTCTATCCATATGGTGGTATTATAAATAGAATAGAAATCTGGAGTGTGTTCATGTCCCAATTTGGGCTGACCAACCTCATAACATTACTTTCTTTTTTTGCAATGTGTTATCACTGTTTGTTTGTCAAGGAGAAACTAAGATTATGGGCACTTGGTACTAAAACATTTTAGGGGCTAAGTAGTATAGTTGTCCATAATCTTGAAATACAATCTAGTGGGATGGTAACCAGTGAGCAGCACTAGCAGTCTATGATGATAACTCTCTCTCTTATGAAGCACCCACAGTGCTGGTTCAAGCATATCACAGTGCAATCCTTAGACTTACTGATCCACAATCAGTATAGTTGGGTTATTATTTTAAATTATACATCACCTATGAGCATCAATTTGGGTCACATGAAATAAATGGTTAATCAGAATTATGATTAAATTTATTATTCATGAAAATAATCAACCAATCAAAATTGTTTTTCATGATTATTACTATTTCTGATTATTCCAACTATCCAAATCGTGTGAGAATAATCAATTAGTTGAGTATAACTGATTAATGAGCATGACATTTAACCACTTACCAAATTCCCCTAATTCCTCAACTCTAGCAGTTTTGCATACTAAGCCAGTTTGGCCTGAAATACAAAGACAACCACTTGCAGAGCTACATATAACATACATATATATATATATGTATGTGTATGTGTATGTACAGAAAGAAAATATTAAATACCTGGCACAATGAAATTGGGTATTATAATTTTTACAGAGTAACGTAATAAATAATGGTATACAGCATTGAGTATTTTCACTTGAAGACAAAAATTTGCTACTTGAATACAATTAAATATCATGCATTTTTCTCCACATAACATCAATAAAATACTAAAATTGTATTTCATCTCTTCTAGTGACATGCTAAATGAATTTCACCATTTTGTTTATGCTGTTTGAAAATGTATATTTTAACATGCATTATAACAATTAACACATATATGTATTTCATTAATTACATGTAATATTTGGATGAAATACGATGTATGTACACTAATAGAATCTATAGCAATTTAGTTATGGCCTCAGCCAGTAACTGATTATTTCTAAATGAATACAACAATATGAATGTCAGTTATACATTGCCATGATAAATTTTTGTGCCTTAGCTTTTTTCCAGACATTAGCATTGTGTGTGTACTCCAGACTATAAAGATTCATTTTCATCAAAATTAGGATTGCTTAATGCTTTAAACCTACAATTTTTTGGGTGTTCTGCTGAAATTATTTTCATGATGTCCTAATAATTATCACCATATCTCATAAAATTTCCAGTTTATTTATAATAGGTGGGTAATAACATGGTTTGGATTAGATTTCATCCAAAGAGGCTATCACTGTTTGAAGGGTATATCAGGATTTTTGGCGAAATGCTGGGAATGTCTGCCAGGTTTCAGGAGTTAAGGTACCTACAGCTAATATAACCTGTACATGTTACAAAATAAATTTTTCATTGTTTGAAAGCTGTAATACTCATAAGAAAGATGTTTTCATATTTTGAAGTCTAAAATAAGTAAAAATGCAAGTTCTATGACATATAAGTGGTAGCTTAAAAAGTAGTGAAAATTCTGATTACAGATGCTAAAATATTAATTTAGGTGTAGACTTTATACTTTTCTCTAAACGTAAGTTTAACTATTTAAATTATAAAATTTGAAATGTTTGTCTGTAACTGGTTTATTTTCATGTCAATCACATTCCTAGAAATCAAGATACAAACTTTGAATTTGTTGGATTGTAACCTGAGCTACTCATAATAATTTTGCAGGATTTCTGATTGATTTTATTATCAAAATTACAAATAGTATGCGGTTATAAATAATAAAACAAGGAAAGTAATAAAAACTTATCAGTAGGTGCTAGTACAGGTCTAATTGAACACCTCTTCCTTCCCATCTTACAACATCCTGGATTGTTCCTGTTTTGAGTAAGTTTCTCAAAGTATGAATCTCTAACAACATTTAATATAATTTGAAACATGTATGAATTAATCAGTATTTGAAAAATGTTAACACAGTACTCCATATAGTAAGCTTTTATGTTTATATCTTATTTTAATGAACATCAGTATTATTTGTGAAATATCATGTATTGAGTTTTTTACCTAATTGAAAACATTTTATTTCTAAAAATTAAAGAAGTATTCAACTAACGTACACATGATCTGGACTAGCTGAAACTAATTGTTTTTTAAATATGTTATTGTTGATGTTTTTAGAAGGATAAAGTTTATTAACTGTATATAAGAATTTATTGTTTGAAAATGTCACAAAATAATGTTTATTTCTATCAACAAGAACTCGGAAGTTTCAATAAATCATTATTTTTCAGGTTGTTTAGTACAACTTTTCATGTATCATACATTTTCATGTACAACAGTTTAGGATAAACAAAATAACTTACTTCTAAACTATTGTACCTGAAGAGTGGATTTTCGGTGCTACTATAGCAGGAGGTCTACCGCCATATGTCACCTACCCAGGTCTATCAAACATGTATAAAAATGTATCGCACATTTCCATACATTTATTTTAGCAATAAACACTTAATTTGATACATTTTTATACATGTTTGATAGACCTGGGTAGGCGACATATGGCGATAGACCTCGCACTATAGTAGCACCGGATTTTCTC